TTTCATCCTGCCCTTCAGTATTGCTTGATTTCTTAAAAGATAAATATTTTTCCAGTTTGTCTCTCTGTGCTGCATTCTGGGGAAATTCAATCTATCTTTTATTTCATTAAAATTCTTCAACAATGTATGATCTACTGTTTAACCCTGTCACTGGGAGAGGGGAGCGTTGTGGGTGGGAGGGAAGTTATGGGGGGGAGGAGCTATTGTAATCCATAAGCTGTAACTTGGAAATTTATGTTCATTAAAAAAAAAAAAAAACCCTGTCACTGGATTTTTGGTTTTAACAAACATATTTCTCATTTCTAAAATTTATATTCAGTTCTTTTTAAAATTTTTTCATTTAAAAATTAATGTTTTGATCATTGATCAGTAATTTCATGTTTTTTAAAATTTATTTATTTATTTGAAAGGCAGAAACACAGAGTGGGGAGGGAGAGAGAGAAAGAGAGGCAGAGGCAGAGAGAGGACTTCCATCTTCTGGCTCACTCCCCAAATGGCCACAATGGCTGGGGCTTGGCCAGGCTGAAGCCAAGAGCTGGGAGCTTTATCCAGGTCTCCCACGTGGGTTCAGGGGCCCAAGCACTTAGTCCATCTTCCACTGTTTCACAGGCACATTAGCAGGGAGCTGGATTGAAGTGGAGAAGCCAGGACTCGAACCAGAACCCATATGAGATGCCTGCACTGCAGGTGGAGGCTTATTTTATTTCTTGTGAGCTCATAGTTGATTAGCTTTACTCTGAAGACTACCTGGAAACCTACATTAAGGATGTTTTCCATCACAGAAGACAGACAATCTGTGTGTGTGTGTGTGTGTGTGTGTGCACATGCACGCTGGAAGGTCTGGGAGCCAGGGATATTGAACTTTCTGGTTCAGTTTGGAATTTACAGATTTAATTCCTTCAGTTTAAGGCCAGTTTAAGGCATAAGCTTCCTCCTGGTCTCACAGAAAACCTGTCTTTTTAAGTATACTTACCACTCACCTCCATGAGTCCAAAACAAGATAAAACTTTATTTTTATGCAGGACTTGGTTGTTTTGAAGGCAGAAGTGTCCTGTAGTTTTTCTTGACCACTATGTGGTCAGAGCAGAAGCCTTTGCTTCATTCTTAGTCCCACTGCTAACCCACCTGACTTTCAATCCTTGCCAGTCATTGAAGCTGTCTGGTCAGGGCACAAAGTTACCACATCCAAGGGGTCCCCTTCTGTGTCAGCAACATTTGACACTGACTTTTATCTAATAATGCTGTCTTAGGGCCAGCATCATGGCACAGAGGGTTAAGCTGCTGCCTGTGACACTGGCATCCCATTGCTGAGCTAATTCGTGTCCTAGCTGCACTGCTTCTGATCCAACTCCCTCTAATGCACTTGGGAAAGCAGTAGAAGATGACCCAAGATTAGGCCCCTGCTCATGGGAGACTCCAATGGAGTCTGGGCTCCTGGCTGTGGCTTGACTCAGCTCTGGCTGTTCTGGCCATTTGAGGAGTGAAACAGTGGATGGAAGACTCGCTCGCCCTCCCTCTCTTTCTGCTTTTTAAATAAAAGAAATCTTGGGGCCTGTGCTGTGACTCACTTGGTTAATCCTCCCCCTGCGTTGCCGGCATCACATATGGGTGCTGGTCCTAGTTACGGTTGCTCCTCTTCCAGTCCAGCTCTCTGCTGTGGCCTGGGAAGGCAGTGGAGGATGGCCCAAGTGCTTGGGCCCCTGCACCCACATGGGATACCAGGAGGAAGCCTGGCTTGTGGCTTTGGATCGGCATAGCTCTGGCTGTAGTGGCCATTTTGGGGGTGAATCAATGGAAGGAAGACCTTTCTCTCTGTCTCTCTCACTAACTCTATCTGTTAAATAAATTAAAAAAAAAAGAAATCTTTACAAAATTAATGCTGGGAGCTGGCGCGGTGGCATAGTGAGTTAAGCTGTCACCTGTAGCGCCAGCATCCCACGCGGGTGCTGGTTTGAGTCCTGGCTGCTCCATTTCCAGTGCAGCTCCCTGCTAATGCATCTGGGAAAGTAGCAGAGGATAGCCCAAGATTCTGGCTCCCGGCTTTGATCTGGTCCAGCTCCGGCTGCGGCAGCCATTTGGGGAGTGAACCAGTGGATGGAAGCTCTCTCTCTCTCTTTCTCAGTAACTTTGCCTTCCAAATAAATAAAATAAATCTTAAAAAAATTAATGTTGTTTATTAGTTTCATTTTGACTTTCTTCTTGTGTCTCTGACCATAATTCTCTTTCTCCTTTTATGACTTTTTTTTTTAAAAAAATTTGACAGGTAGAGTTACAGACAGTGAGAAAGAGAGAGAGAGAGAGAGAGAGAGAGAGAACGGTCCTCCTTCTGATGGTTCACCCCCCAAATGGCCACAACGGCCAGAGCTGCGCTGATCCGAAGCCAGGAGCCAGGTGCTTCTTCCTGGTCTCCCACGCGGGTGCAGGGGCCCAAGCACTTGGGCCATCCTCCACTGCCTTCCCAGGCCACAGCAGAGAGCTGGACTGGAAGAGGAGCAACCAGGACTAGAATCCGGCGCCCATATGGGATGATGGCACCGCAGGCGGAGGATTAACCTAGTGCGCCACGGCACTGGCCCCTGACTTCTTTTATCTACCCATGAAATAGGATATTCTCCAAATGTCTGCCCTTGGCCGTTCTCTCAGTCCTCTTTGGCAGTCTCACCTGCTCCTGTGACTTCAGCTACTGTTTATCTGGTGATGACTTCGGAATCGCTATCTGTGGCCCAGACCGCTTTCCTTTGCTTCCAGTAAGTATACCTAACTACCCAAATATTTTCCAATATTTTTGTCCCTAAATGAACTCCAAATCTCTAATTTGCCACACCAAACCTTAGTTGGTAGCAGTACCATGCCTCCAGTTGCCAGAACCAAAAACACAGGAGTCATCCTAATCCTCCCCTCTTCTTATCTCTAGATGGAAATCAAGACCTTTGATCTTTTCTTAAATTCTTTCCTGTTGAGCATGGAAGAGCAGGTAGTCATGCTCATTATTACAATCCTTATTGCAGCAGTTTGAGGTATATATCAAAAAAAATTTTTAAATGTGCATATCCTTTCTCCCAATAATTTCATATCTAAGAATTTATCCTCAGGGAATAGCCAAAGATGTGCATATTTATACACATAAAAGAATGATTATATAAGCAAAACTTTATGAGTAATAAAATTTCTAATACTACTCATAAGATTCCTTAAATATATTATGGTGCACTCATAAAACAGACTACTATACAGTCATTAAAATTATACGGTTGAATATTTTTGATGCAGGAAAATGTGCCTGATTGCTTTGTGAAAAAAGTAAGATTCAAGATACTAGGATAATATGACATCACTTTCGTAAAAAATATTTGCTTCCTAAAAGGGCATAAAAGACTGTAAGAATATATTGACGGTGGTTACTTTGGGTAAAGGAATTGTGGCCCTTCTTTATGCTTCTTTGAGCTATCAACATTTTTTGCACTTGAGCACATATTTAATTAGTAAAATATATATGTAGATCTAAAAATAAATTCTTTAAAATTTATCTTCTTTTCAAGAAGTTCCTTTTTTCACTGCCATAGCCTCTCACTGTCACCCACCTAATGCTTCCTTCTCTTTCTCCCCTCATTGACCTATTTGTCCTGGGCCCCAACCCCTTCCAACCTGAGTGATCTAACTCATGATTCAACCATGACACTTGCAGGTTCAGAAACTTGGAGCCTCAATCACCATAGCCTGAAGGCCCTTCTTAGTCTGCAGGCTCCTCTTCCACCGCAGGGCTAACTGCTCCTGCTCCAGCAATCTCAGTTCTGGTTCTGGGTCTGCCACTCCCCCCCACCCCCCTCCCCATCATGCTGCCTTCCTCTTCTGGAAGCCTCCTCCCCTGGATCACCCGGTAGACCTGCCCTTGAGCTCCCCAAGTGTTCCCCATCAGCCTGTGCCTCCGCTGGGGTCTGCTCCACACTGGTGACCATCCTCTGTTCACCTGTTTGCTGTAACCTCCACAAAAGCGGGCCGTGGTCTTTCCTTTTTGTATTCTCAGTGCCTGTACATGAAGATACTCAGTGGGGGCCTGGCACCGTGGCTCACTTGGCTAATCCTCTGCCTGCAGTGCTGGCATCCCATATAGGCGCCAGGTTCTAGTCCCGGTTGCTCCTCTTCCAGTCCAGCTCTCTATTGTGGCCTGGGAAGGCAGTGGAGGATGGCCCAAGTGCTTGGGCCCCTGCACCCACATGGGATACCAGGAGGAAGCACCTGGCTCCTGGCTTCGGATCAGCGCAGCTCCAGTCTTAGCGGTCATTTGGGGGAAGAACCAACGGAAAGAAGACCCTTCTCTCTCTCTCTCACTGTCTAACTCTGTCAAATAAAAAAAAATTAAAAAAATAAAGATACTCAGTGATGTTTTGTTGGATGGTGCACCCAGATGAATTCTCTTAGGCAGAGTCACAGACTCAGAGGTGTCCTCTCATTTTTGTGAAAGCTGAACAGTCCCTCCTGCTCACCCGTCTTCAGACACACACAGACCCAAGGATACTGGGATACACGTGTATAAAGATATGCCTATAGAATATTTTCTGGTCTTTCCCCACAGGCAGCCTCAGGACCTTTGCACTTTCTGATCACTCTGGGACTTTCAGCTCTTCACATGACTAGTTCTCTCTCATCCTTCTAGTCTCAACTCAATGTCATCTCGAGAAAAAGAGGTCTTTCATGGACTGTCTAAGTAGCTCTCTCTTTCCATTTCTAGTTCCCTATTTATTTCCTTGAACGATTTATAAAATCCTTATTTCTTGTTTATTGTCTCTCTCTCCCTACCTCTTACGCTGATGTAATTCCATGAGGTCAGGATCTTGCACTATTTTATATGCCACTGTGAATTCTTTGCCTAGGCAAATGAATAAAACACAAATGCGAAGCTACAAATAATTACAAACACACGATGACAACCCTGCATTGCCAGTCATCTAGACAGCCATGGCCATAAACTCTGGCCCACCCCTCCCCAAACCTCCACTTACCGGGGTCACAAACTTGTTTGCCTCCCAGGCCCACAGAGGTGGGTCCTTGTAGACCTCCTTGATGGAGGTAGGAGCCCTGTAGGAGTCATTGTAGGTGCTGATGGGGGTCTTGGTCTTCCGGGAGAAGAGGAACATGGTGGCGTCTGGGGGATTTGGTAGTGGGCTCTACCTACCAAGGGCTCTTGCTGGACATCAGTGACCACCCCTTCCCCCTCACCTCCAGCCCGGCAGATGCCCCAGCTGCTGTGCCCCCTGCTGTGGAGGATGCCTCCGCTTTCCTCCCCTACAGCCTTCCTACTCCCACCTCACCCTGCTTCTCCCTCCCAACTGGGCACTGCCCATTGTGATATCACCTGGCCCAGCCCCATCCCTGGTTAGGAGGTCTGATTCCCTCTTGTCTCCTGGCCACTTCCTGCCTCAAGTCTTTCGAAAGAGCCCAATTTCCAAGAGTTCAGAAGGCCTCTGGAGACCTTCTAGACATCTCTGAAGAGGAACAGAGGTGACTCACCCCGGGTCACGCAGGTCAGCGGCACCCCTGGGAACCAATGGGTGGAGGTGATGTGACATGTACAGTCAGAGGATCCTTTCTCTCCCCTTCCCAGCCCACCTGCCCTTTGCCCACACCCCAGATAGGGAGCTGAGGCTAGCTTATTTGATGCTTTTAATATTATTTGTGTTACACGATACACAACCAAGGATGATGGTCAATACTGCAATGGAAATGTTAAAAAAAATATTATACACGGCTCATGTCTTCCACACACCTTCCTGGAAATAAATTAGTGAGCACGGAGAAACCTGGCTGGGTGGTAGCCACAGCTGAGGGTAGAGGGAGTGTTAAGGCAGTATCTACAAGGGGGAAGGATGGCAGGGGGCAAGGTAAGGCCTTGATTCCTCCCCTCCAACCTTCCGGACAGGGAAGGAGGGAGCCACAAACTCTCCCCAGACTCGGACGCTGCTGCTGCCGCTGCTGCTACCAATCCCTACCCTCTCAGCCTCACTCGTACTGCCTCAGTTGGAAGCCCTTGCCTGCCAGGGATCTAGTATGTTGTGTGGGGAGAGAGCTTTTCTGGCTTCCTCAGGGCCAGAGAGATTGAACAGGGTGGGAGAGATGGACTCAGATGGGGGCCAGTATGGGACTGAGGGTCCAGCATTTACCTTCTCTGTCCTTGCCTTCCTTTGGCATTTTCTCATTATGTAGGGTCCCTGGACCGGGGGGGGTGGGGGGTGGAGGAGTCGGGAGTGGGGAGCTATACCCCAACACTTTGGAGTTAACAGATCTTGGGTGCAGTTCAGGGAGTGGTGCTACCCTTCCTAAGCCAGCAACCTCCCTCCTTCCTCCCACTTCCCCCTCACCAACTCCCACCTCCCAGACCTGGCGTCCAGAGAATGGGCTATGGATGCGTCCACTGCAGCTTGCAGCATGCAAGTGGGCTCTGTACGAGTGGGTACACCACCGTGTGTGGGGTGTCAGCATGAGGACCTGGGCCCCGGGGGCACACTTTGTGGGCCACAGGCCTGAGCCAGCCTAGGCTATCTGTGCTTTCACTTTTCTTGGCAGGAGGGCAGGTCCACATCGCCAGCCCCAGGGCCAGGCTCTGCTCATGTCTTCCCTCTTCTTTTCATTGTCAGCTTCCCTGTCCCCTGCCTCCACGTGAGCCGCAGCAGAAGCAGCAGTGTACACATTCCGACCCAAACACCCCACACAGCTCCACACAGGACAGGACTTGCACGCACGCACACCTTCACAGACGCACACACGTGCATTTCCAAACAGCCACGTGAACCTCGACACGGTCTTGGCAGGAGCGGCCCCTTCCCTTTTCCACACAGACACAGGACTCGGTGAGCTCCCTGCACGTACTCAGAAACACAAAACTCCCCAGACCTCGCCAGAGGAATCCTGAAGAAATGCCTTCTGGCATAGAAGATCCTAAAAAAATGATTTCTGGGCTGTTCATTTTAGAGTTGAGGAAACTGAAGCCCAGACAAAGTGAGGAGCTTGTTAAGACCAGAGGGAGGGTGCCAGAGCCAGGAACAGACCCCAGGCTTTGGCCGCCCAGGCCAGGGCTCAGTGCACTGCTGAGCAGCCTCTCATGCTGTCAGCACACAATCACACACACACACCCCGACAGCCTCAGCCACACACACACGTTCTGCCAAGCGCTCCCTGCCACACACATGCAGCCTCTCCACCCACTGGATTATAAGCTTGCTTCTTGAAGACTTCCCGGGGACCAGCCTTGCAGATCTTGGACGTTGGAGGCTGGCCTTACTCCCTGATCCTTGCCTGGGGCAGAGACCAATAAACAGAAGCATGGGGTTGGGGGGGGGGGCACAGGAAGCGGACAGCACAGGCATAAGATAGATGAATGGGTAGGGGCCAGTGAGAACAGTTCATTTAACCCCAAACTCCTGCCTAACTCTAAGGCTCACTTACTCTCTCCAGTACCCAGACAGCAAAGAAGGGAGGGGTGGATGAGGCAAAGAGGAGGAGGAAGAAGGCAGTGATCTGATGGGTGGGGCAGAATCCCCTTTGGGCAGCTTTGCCATCCGGAGAGGGGCAAAGCCCATTTAGGTACACCGGCCGGCAGGGGGCGCTGGGGACCCCCCCCCCCCATCCTCACTGCCTTGGGCCTTTCTCCCCCAGCTCCCCTTTCCTGGTCTGGCTGGGAGATTTCCTGGTCTGGCTTTGTGACCCCTAGCCCTGCTCAGAACTGTTGTCCTCCCTGCCGTCCATGTCTTATCCCCCACCCCGGCCACCGGACTGCAGCCTTGGTAAGGGGGGCAGCTCCTGGGTGAAGTCCCCCAAATAACTGAGCCAACAGCCCCCACCCCTCCTCAGCCCCCGGGTGCAGAGAGACCCGGTTTTGGTTTCTCCGGCTCCATGAACACACAGAGGTACACGTCCTACCATAGGAGGAAGCAATGACTGTTACAAGGTTAGCGGCTGTGGCGGCGCGGGGCCGGGGGCAGGTGGACGACGGGCTGGCAGGGGTCGGCCCCTGCCCGGTCCAACCTCCCCCGCTCGGCCCCGCCCCCGGCGGCCGCGGCGGCCCGCCCGCTACTGAATGTGGCAGGCGGTGGAGGACGTGGCCTGGCAGCACATGCAGGTGGGGTTCACGGACTTGGGGGGGATGAGGTCTAGGTCCTCGTCGTCAGGGATCTCGTCTAACCGGTAGCCGTCCTTCAGCAGCTGGATGTTCAAGTCTTGGTTGATCTGCTGTAGGCAAAGGGGAGGGAGGTCAGGCTCAGGGCTACCAGGAGGCTGCCCGCAGAGCCCGGCAGCAGCCCCAGGGCACGTCCCGCCTATGCCCCATTCCCCGGGGAGCCCCGCTTCCCCCACCCCCCACCCCGCTCTGGCCTCAGTCCCTGACAGGCGCCCAGCCTCGTGAGGCTCTGCCCCACCATAGGCCCCCTCCCCATTCCACAGTCAACTTCTCACCTCAGCCTGATTTATTCGCATCAGGTCAGACCCCGGTCGGAACAGCCCTGGTCCAAGCCCCGCTCCCACCCCGGGCTCCACTGTGGAGCCCAGTGATTTCTGTTGGAGTTTACCCCGCCCCTCACGGGCTCCGCCGCCTACCGGGCTCCACCCAGCAGCATCTATTTCCCATCTGCGGGTATGATTCGGAGGCCCACGCCGCCGGGATGGAGGGGTCTGGGGCGGGAAGGTGTGGGGCCTCACCTCAGCAGAGGAGTAGCCAGAGGAGGAGTATCTGGACATGTCAAAGTCATCATCGCTGGCCGTGCAGGAAAGAGGGCAGAGAGGAAGTGACTCAGCCGCAGTAGATGGAACACTCCCCGCACACCCCACCCCTTCATCAGCCAATACCCCTCCAAGTCCCACGTTCCAAATAAACAGCACCATCTAAATAAAAGCTGTGCTTGCTGAGCCAACACAGGTGATTTTTTACAAAGCGAGATTCCCTAGCCCATTCACCCTTAACTCTCTTTTAAAGCTGCTACTCTCTTCACTCCTTTCTTACCATTTTTTTTAAAGGCTCAAATCACCCTGTCTTGATGATTGGGTTTTTCCAAAGTCTACTTCTAGCCAGGTGTTCTCCCCAGGAGTAGGCCTCATCCCTTAGAGGGGACAGGGCTGTGAGTGTGGCATCTGCTGTCCAGAGGCAACATCAGAACTCATTTAGGATCAATTGTTCAAGGAGGGCAGCAGGCCCTGCCCCCACTGCCTATAAAAACATTTTCATTCCCCGGAGAACTCATCCTTGGATGGCTCCTGGCTGAGGAACACCCCGAGTCTGACAATATAACAGGGGTGGCCTGTTACCGCCCGCTTGTGCTCACACAGGTTCCTGCAGCTTGCCCAGCTGCCCCCAGGTCTCCGTACGCACCTGTCTGTGTCAAGGGCAACCAGTGGCTTCTCATCTGGGCTCTGGTCAAGCGAGGAGTAGCCTTTATTGGGGACGACCAGCCTGGGTGAAGAATTTTGGTGGTTGGAATGGCAACTGGAGCACACAAGCCTGGCAGGGGACCAGGCTGGGGCCTGGCCCACTGCTTCTCTCCCTCCCTCCTTCCCTCCCTCCATACCTTAGATCCTGTTGAGGGTCTTTCCTCTCAGAGAGGAACTGGGCATGAGGAGGGAGGGAAAATGGGTAGGTGCAGGACAAGCAGAGAGAGGTGTGGGCTGGCAGGGTCCATGGGGTAGGAGGGCCTCTACCTTGTCCGGGCCATGACATTGTTTTTCTTGGGTTGCTGGTTGACAGGGCTGCCCATGCTGCCGTTCTTCAGGGAGCCCTTCCGGGCCAGCTCCCGCTGCTTCTCTGCAGGGAAACATGGGAAGGAAGCTGTGTCCTGCTCCCAGGGCCACCCTGCCTTACCGTTCAGGGCAGCCTGGGCTGGGCCTCCACGGTGGAACCCCTTGCTGCTCTAGAGTCTGAGGCAGAGGTCCCAAATTCTGGCTCCTGCCGCTTGATGGAGACAGTTGTTGGCCCTATACAACCTGAGGAACACAGTGGGAGCTAAAAGGAGGAAGCTGACCCCTGTCTTCCATGTGGGACAGTTAGTGGTGCTTGATACCAAGGAAAGGCTGGAGAGGGAGAGAGGTTCACAGCAGGATGGAGTAATCAGGGAAGGCTTCCTTCAGGGGCACCACAAGTGAGAGAGAGGAGCACATTCTAGGCAGGAGGATAGAGTGTACAAAACTGCAGTGTGGATCTGTATGGAGTGGAGGGGGAGAGGGGGAGAGAGGTCAGGTTGGAAAAGCAAGATCCATTTATTCCATTACTTATTCATTCAGCAAATGTTTGTGTCATCAGTCATGTGTCAGCCCTGTGGTATGGGGCTGGGGACTCCCTCTGGCTACAAACTCACAGCAGAGGAATTTGGGATTAGTGAGGATGGTAGAAGGAAGGCAGGGCCTCTGAAGGTGGAAGAGTGGGAGAGGTAGAAGGGCTGGCAGGGAAGTGGGCGGGGGCTGAGACAGCCTTTTGGCTGCACAGCCTAAGTGACGCTCCTGACTCCTCTGCTAGCCTCTGAGTTCTCCCAACCTCCAATCTACC